GAAGAAAACAGCAACCAAGAGCAATGCCTCTCTTGTCTAGTTCAGCCCAGTCCAGTGCAGCTCCACTAGAGCTGAACAATCAATTTCATAGTCTCCCCCGGGAAGAAAGCATGCAGACACCTGGAAAAGCATCAAGTGTTCCTGTGATAGGAAGAAAAATAACCCACACTTTCCCAGGGGAAAAAAGTAAGTGTTGGCAATAGGAAATTCATCTCTCAGGGGAACAGAATCAATCATCTATAGAATGAACAATCAATCTAGGGAGGTATGTTGACTCCCTGAAGCAAAGACAAAGATGTGGCTGAGAACCTTACTAAAATAATCAAGCCCATAGACTACTATCCCCTTCTTCTCTTTCATGTGGGGACAAATGATATGACAATAAACTTGAAAATAATATCAAAAGACTCTGAGCAGCTCAGCAAGAAAATTAAGGAGTTAGGAGCACAAGTGGTCTTTTCATCTGTACTGCCAACAAAAGGTCAACATCCAATGAGGGAACCAACAATTTTAGACATGAACCACTGGTTTAAGATTTGATGCCACCAAGAGATGCCCTCTGTGGACCCCCACCACAGTCAACCCACCACTTGTGTTTATGCTTGGCAGGCTCTCTGCTGGCATTCTTTCCTCAGCAATTGTCCACTGACACACATGTCCCACCATCATACATTCCCCCCCCCCCGCAACTGGGAATTGTAAAGTAAAGACCTCACTGTCCCCTGAAAGTCTGCTTACACATTTAAGCATGAAGGGAACTTAACATTGTTATTTTTTCTGCAGACTGAACCATTTTAGCTTCTCACATCATACAGTCTCTGTTTTTATTTTTTTAGCAAGTCCTTCCTCTCCAGGATGAGGCATGTGTGGGGTCTCTGGGAGGGGAGGGGCCATCTGTGTGTGCTCTCCACCTAGAGACACTGAGGCTCTGGTTGTGGCCAGGACTCACAGGCCAGTGGATGCCAGTGAGAATGGAGGCCCCCTAAAGCTGGGATGCAGCTACAAATATAGCCTAGCTGTGGCTGGAGTGACTGCTGCCTGGCTGCTGCTATTGCCACTGTTGCTGCTGGGGGGGGGTGGCTGTGCCAGGTGCCCATCCCACCCGGCCATCAGGAGGCATGTTTAAGTGTCCCACATATGCATAATGCCCGGGGACAAACACCCTTGGTGAATCGACAAAGAAAAGAGAGGCAGGAGCAGAGGCAGACTACTGCCGGGGAAAGAATGTGGGGGAGGGCCCTCCAAGCAAAATGCCGAGAGTGACCATGTCATATTGGAATTCAATACAGTATAATGCAGATACAAGCAATAGAATATAATCAAAATAGTAGTAATAAAAACATAATAAAACATAATCAAAACAGACTTTAAAATTGCTGGTTTCAACAGATATAAGGAGAGCTTGGGAAGGATTCCATGGATGAAAATCTTAAAGGGGAAAACAACTCAATAATAATAATAATAATAATAATAATAATAATAATAATAATAATAGTAATTGTTATTGTTATTGTTATTGTTATTGTTATTGTTATTTTATTTCTATACCGCCCTTCTCCCGAAGGACTCAGGGCGGTGTACAGCCAATTTAAAAACACAAGACACAACAATGATTAAAAATTAAAATAATTAAATAGATTTGGCCGGATTAAAACCCCAAAATTTTAAAATACCTCAATTTAAAATTATTATGTTGATAGCCCGGCCTGGCGGAACAACAGGGTCTTCAATGTGCAACTAAACACCCGGAGGTCAGAGATCTTACGTATTTCCGGGGGCAGTTCATTCCACAGGGCTGGGGCTCCCACAGAGAAGGCCCTCCCCCTGGGTGTTGCCAGCCGACATAACTTGGCTGATGGCACCCTGAGGAGATCCTCTCTGTGGGAGTGGACTGGTCGGTGGGAGGCTATTGGTGGCAGAAGACGGTCTCGAAGATACCCGGGTCCTATGCCATGGAGCGCTTTAAAGGTGGTAACCAACACCTTGAATCGCACCCGGGACACCACTGGGAGCCAGTGCAGCTCGCACAGGAGGGGTGTCACACGGGCACAACAGGTTGCGCCCATAACCACCCGCGCAGCCGCATTCTGGACCAGTTGGAGCCTCCGAGTGCTCTTCAAGGGGAGCCCCATGTAGAGCGCTTGGGAAGCTTGGGAAACTCCAAAAAATGCAGTTGTAAAGACCTAGTCTAGCACAATGCCACAGAAAAAGAAAAAGAAAAAATCCAAGAAAAAAACTAGCATGGTTCCACAAAGTTCTCTCTGATAAACTGAAAGAGAAATAGGATAAGAATAAAGAGGGACACATAACTAAGGCAGAACATCAGCAGATAGCCTGAATTTGCAAAGATGAAGTAAGAAAAGCTAAGGCTCAGAATGAACTAAGACTTGCAACAAATATCAAAAATAATAAAAAAATAACTTTCTTTCAACCTATAACAGTGATGGCTAACCTTTTCTGGACTGACTGCCCAAAGTGTACATGTATGAGTGCAAATGTGCACACGCACCCAAATCCCAAAATGCAATGCGTGCGTGGCCTTCATGCATGTGCCCCACCCCCTGCATGTACCCTGCCCCTGCATGTACCCCACCCCCCACGCATGCATGCGCACTCCCCACATCCCCCACATGCACAGTGCCCCCACGCATGCACACACGCCCTCCCCACATGCACCCCACTCCCTGTGCATGCACGGCAGAGACCTGAAAACCATCTGGTGGTTGGGAGATACGTGCACATGTGCAGCAGAACTGAACTGGGGCGACGGCTTGCATGCCATCAGAGAGGGTGCTGCATTCCACCTCTGGCATGCAAGCCATAGGTTTGGCCTATGCTTCTCATAGATCTAGTTTGGTGAACATCTTCCCTTTGGCCAAGTGGGCTAGCATGTCCTTCATGAGAGGCAGTGGGTAGGTGTTTTCCACGCACATGGCATTAATACTTGTAAAATCAATGCATAATCTAATCGACCCAATATTTCTTCTCTTTGAAGAGGATGAGGGTGGCTACCTGGGATTTGGCAAGTTGGATGAACCCTCAGGCCAAATTGGCATTGATATATTCCCTTAATTCAGTCATTTCTCTTGAGGTCATGGAATACATCATGGGTTTGTGTAGTTTAGTCCCTGGTACAAACTCTATGGTGCAATCAGTATGTCGGTGAGGTGGAAGTGCATTGCATTCTTCTTCACTAAATGCATCTGCTAGGTCCCGATACTCCTTGGGGATCTGGGGGCTCCCTGGATGCAGTTCTGCTGTGGTGGCTGCTTTTTCATCATTCTGTAGCTTGGCTATCTCTTCCTCCACAGGGTCGGAGGGGGAGGGGGCCTAGCCCCAGCTTTATTTTTCTGTAGCTGTCTTCCCAGGAGATGGTGGGACACCATTTGTCCAGCCATGCCCGTCCCAGGATGATTCCTTCAGGCATTTTTGGTGCCACCACAAATCGAATAAGATCCCAGTGGTGGCCCATTTCTAAGCATACTGATTTGTTGATCAGAGTGGCAGATGTCTCCCCAATTTGTGTCCCACTGACTTGTTCAAAGCGTAGGGGGTTAGCTAGGGGCTGCATTTGAATACCTAGCTTTTGGCAGAGGGGGAGGCTGATCAGGCAGCAGGTGCATCCCGTGTCTATGATGGCCTCTACTTCCCCTTGGGCTTCAATATAGATTTGATGATGAATGGATAGATGGATTTACTCACCATTGGGTTGTTCTCACTTCCATCACCACTGTGGTCAGCGGTGATGTCTCTCTGGCCAGAGTTCCCCCCCCTTTGCGGAGGGGGGAGACCTTGATGGCTTGGTGGGCCACTTTTCTTTCTTCTGCAGATCTCCGTGGAGGCCTTTCGGGCTTTGCCAGTCCAGGAGCTTTCGGCTGGGGAACGGGTGCCAGCACCAGGCATTCTGATACACAGTGGCCTTGCTGCCCACACCAAAAACACTTGATCGGTGCTGTAGAGGTCCTCCTGGGCAGCTCTTCCACTGCCGGCCAAGCTGTCTTTTCAATTTTTTCTCAGATACCTCTTTACGGTGTGGGTGGATCTCAAGGTCCATGGCCACTGTTATGAATGCAGTCAGGAACTCCCTGGAAGATACAGGTGTTGTGCAGCTCCTGGTCCAGACCCTCCTTGAAGTAGTGGACCAGGAGGCATTGAGGCCAGTACCACAATTTTCCAGCAAGCCTCCAAAACTCTCCGATGTACTCTTTTTAGCCGGGCAACCCCTTTGCTTAATCGCCTTAATCTCCACCTCTGCTTCATGGCCTTGAGCCGAGTCTTCAAACCAGGGGTGAAATGCTCCCGGTTCAGACCAGATCACCCGATCCGGTAGCAATTGCAGATCGCCCGGAGAACCAGTAGCAAACATCCCTGCCCCCCCCATGCCCAGCTGAGCCACGCAATCATCAGAGGCTTTTTTTTTATTTTTAAAAGCATTTTTTCTACAACTTCTTCCACTGAAAAAATGCTTTTAAAAGTAAAAAAAGCCTCTGATGATCGCACGGCTCATCTGGGATTGTCAGAGGTTTTTAAAGGCATTTTTTTAAACAACCTCTTCCGCTGAAGAGGTTGTAGAAAAAATGTTTTTAAAAGAAAATAAAGCCTCTGCCAATCAGGCAACTCAGCTGGGATCGTCAGAGGCTTTTAAAAAAGAAAAAAGCCTCTTCCAATCAGGCAACTCAGTTGGGATTGTCAGAGGCTTTTAAAAGAAAAAAAAGCCTCTGCCGATCAGGCAACTCAGCTGGGATCATCAGAGGCTGAAGAGGTTGTAGAAAAAATGCTTTTAAAAGGCTCTGATGATCCCAGCTGAGTTGCCTGATTGGTAGAGGCTTTTAAAAGCATTTTTTTACAACCTCTTCAGCTAGGTTTTAAAAGTAGAAAAAAAAAGTTGGCCACGCCCACCCAGTCACATACCCCCCCCCCACCAAGCCATGCCCACAGAACTGGTAGTAACAAATTTTACATTTTGCCACTGCTTCAAACCTCTTCCTTAACTCCTACAGGAAGTCATCAATGTTCTCGAGCTCTGGGCCGCCCTCATCGTGGAGTTGGGTCACCCACTCTGCTACTTCACCCTCTAGGTTGTCTGTGATGGCTGAGATCATTTCTTGGTAAGTGAGATAATAATCTCCGTAGCAGTCAATGTGGGTCCAAACCCTGTTGAGATAGAAGGCCAACTTGTCTGGACTCCCATCAAAGGCAGCCCTGAAGTGGGGTGGGGCTGTGGGCCGTGATGGTGATGGAGGTGGCTGGGGTGCAGGAACAGGAACAGGCACTCACTGGAGTTGGACACAGCCTTAATCCAGGTATTATGCCCATCCAGATGGCATCTGGGGCTGTCCCATTGGGCTGGCAAGACTCCAATGCCTGGGAGGGCTCCCCTGTGAGCTGGGATTTGACCAAGCCAATGGAGGTGGTGGTGACAGGCTGGGCTCTCAAGGAAGTAGCTCGAGCCCTCCTAGAGAGATGTAGTTGTGCACTGGATTGCCCTAGTGGGAGCAGCATTGCAGTTGCTCACTGAGTAGATCGGTCCTTCTGGGCAGAAAACTTGAAAGTTGGCTGGCTGAGGAGCACCATCCCTTGGCTGGACATTTGATGCTGCCCAACACTGTTGAGGCTTAGTTGGCTGAGCTTCTCTGGCAACCCCTCCAGGATCTGGCTGCGGGTCATAGTGTCATAGTGTCAGCCCTAGGCCATCTTTGAATTTGGATCTTCAGGGCTGCCACAAGTGGTGGATGGGAAAGCTGTGGGAATGGGAGGGGTGGATGGAGACAGTGTGGGATGTATAGCCATAACAACATTTTTTTTCCTTGGGAGTCAAGGACGTTCAGCCTGCACCTGGGGAGGCGTGATTGGGAGTCAACTACAGTTGGGACAGTGACCTGATTGGACCATGTGATGCCCATGTTGATGCAGGGAAAGGAACTTTGACTTTACTTTGGGTGGGGAAAACCTGGGGGCTTTCAGATTCGGGTTTTCCCAGATGTGTCAATATGACATCTCTAATAAATTCAAGCTTTGAGGAAAATGCCTGCCCCAGAGTTTTGATTCTGTTGTGGGTGTTACTTGAAACCCGGACACAAGGTCTGGTACTTCCACTCCCTGGACTCGCTGAGGTCCAGGGGTTCTGTTGACCTCCACTTGATAATCGCAGTCCCCTCCTCTCTCATCAAACTGACCGTGTGTTTTCTCACCAGCTCCTGGAACTCAGACTGGTAGCCTGTGTCTTCCTCCACCTGGTAAAGCTCCTGGGTGGCTGACCACTTGGTGTGAGTTTTGAGCAAGGCGCCCAACTGGTGCTTGGCCTCTGCTGCCGCCACTGCCACCCGCTGCCACCCACTGGGGTGAGTAGGCTTTCAGCAAATTCTCCACAAAGCCCTGTTGGTGGCCACTGTCTCCTCCGTCTTCTCCATCATCCCTGAGTCTTCTCGCTGCCTGGGAGACAGGGGCTCAGGACCCCCGATAGCAGCCCTGAAGGGAGTGGAAAGTTTCCTTATGCTTTAGTAGAGAATTGGTTTAATGTCAGGGTTCCAAGCAATAGATCCATTGCAAGCAAAAACTCCAAGGCAGGTGAATTCCTCAAAGAATAGCTTTATTGGAAATATCATATTGATGCATATCTGGTGAAAACCAACTCTGAGGGGCCTCTTGCTTTTCACCTAATTAAAAGTTTTTTCCCTCAACCCCAAACAATCAGTCACATGGCCCAATCATGGCAGCGTCTGCTGGTCTGGTGACACATTATAGGTTGGATCCATAAGCATGGATGATAATATGACAAACCTGATTGCCATTCCTTGTTCAGCAAAGTATTGGGACTGCTTGGCTGGGCCTGTTTAGCCAGCTTTTAAGAGAACAATTATTTTCCAGCAAAGAGGCAGGGCAAAGCCTAAAGCCATGTGGCAGGGGTTTTATTATTAAATATTCATAAAATAATGTTTTCATTGTAGCAGATGCCTTACTGATCTTCAGTAAACTGATCTTCTTCAGTTTTCTCAGGCTGCCCAAATGGTATTTCATCTGTGTGACTGGTTTTTGTATTTGGATCAATAACAGTAATAACTAGGAATGCATTGCAATATCCATTAATCAGTGGTGAAATCTGAACCGGTTTACTACCGATTTGCTGGCTGCGCATGCGCAGTGCACACCACGCACCAAATGTGAGATGCACGCATGCAGTACATGCCAAAAGGAGGCATGCAGTAAGTAGAACAATGCGTGATGGGGGGGGTGATCAGCTGAGGTGCGCAATCTTTTTTTTTACTTTTAAAAGCATTGCTTTTAAAAGTTTTTAAAAAAGCCTCTGACAATCGCGCTGCTCAGCTGTGATCATCAGAGACTTTTTTTTTACCTTTTAAAAGCATTTTTCTACAATCTCTTTGGCTGAAGAAGTTGTTTAAAAAATGCTTTTAAAAGGCTCTGACGATCCCAGCTGTGTTGCCTGATCGTCAGAGGGGTTTTTTTTCTTTTGAAAGCATTTTTTCTAAAAGCATTTGCATTTAAAAGGGGAAAAAAAGCATAAATCCAAAATAAATTTTCAGAGTAACATGTAAATATCTATATTACTTCTTAATCGCTAGTAGCAGGTTATTTTAATTACAAGTCTATAACCCTTATAAATTTTCTTCTCTTAGGTCATTCTCTTCTTTAATTCGTTTATTCTTGTCTATTTTCCAATTATTTATTTTAAATACTTAACGTCCCAAGTGCCTTTTAAGTTAAACGTCTGCCTGTTCAATCCAATCCAAAGTCTGATGATTCAGGAAGAAGAGAAATTCTATGCAGTAAATTAATTATTAAGTATCCAACTATAATCCAACACGATTTCCTTTCAAATGTCTAAATATTGTCCGAATATTCCAGCGTTTCTCGTCCAAGCCTTCACGAAATGGAAAGAATAGGGAAAGCAATGTTAATAAATCCAATTTACTTCACGATCACTCTTGCTCTTTTTTTTTATGCCCAATACACGTTAAATATCCTCTGTGAGTTTCGAGCGTTAACGTATCAAAATATCTTAGTCCAGCTGTCCGAACGTCTCCTAAGCCAATTGTCCAAGTGTTAGAGTAAGTGTTGAAAAAGTCTGTGTCCAAATTGTCCAGTAAGTATTATAGATCCTAAATTCGCCACATCCTCATTATGTCGAGTCAGTAGGGATTCACCATCTTCTCTTCTTTAAGTGTCCAAATATCTAACAATCCTGTGTCAAGTATTCTCCAGCTTTTTGAGACTTTCTCTTCTCTCAAGATCTTACTGTAAAAGTTCTAAGTATCGTCCCAACGTTCACACTGCCAGCTTTCCTCTGGATTTCTTGTTTCACTGGCTGCCAAATTGTGCGCTGTCACTGCTAAGATGGACTACTCTTCCGCTCCGGTTTTCCACTTGCTGCTTCTCTCTATATATCCTACTTGGAGGTTCCTTCCACCCGCCTTCTTTCGACAATTTAAGAATTTAGAGATACCTTTTTCAATTCTTCTTTTGTTCTCTCCTCCTATTCCCACTGATGCTTCTTTTACAATCTTCGCTTCCTTCTAAACAGCTGTCACCGTATTGGGCCAGCCCAAATGGCTGGTTTTTCCTCAATCTGAGTTAAGGGGGTTTTCCTGAGCCTTCAGGGGGGGTTGCTGCCCTTCCTGAGGTCCTCAGAAGTTCCCCTTTCTTCTATCGACCTCTCCGGGGTCGATAGCGCCAAAATCAGTGCTCAGATTGAGAATGTTAGGGATTTAGAGAGCGGAGAGCCGTTCCCTCGTCCCTAACTCACTGATGTCACCGCTGGATTTATGATTGCATAACCTAACCTTATATATATTAAGTGAATTATTAGCTTGTTAGTTTGTTAGTTTGTCTTTATATATTTAGAGTAAAAGATATATACTGGGTTACATTATATTTATTATATTTATGCAAATGATACTTATATATCTACATTAGTCATATTAGAAGATAAGAGTAATTGATATTTATTTATTTAATAGTATAAGAGTTATATTAAGTACTTGAATATTTAATATTTTGGATAATCAACTGATGGAACATTAGAATACTATATTTTCCCTCCATCCCTCCTTTTTAACTTCCCTCATCATTGTCTCATAAATATTGAAAAGTATTGAAAGAATATTGAAAAGTGAAAGATAAATTTGGATGCAAATCTAAGAAATAGACTTATAATTATCAATTAGTATATGAAATTTTGGGAATTAATAAAACAAGGAATAATAATGGCAACCATAAGCACAGCAACAACAACTAAAACAAGTAAGAAGATACCATCAAGCCAAATGATACTCATGGCTTCCCCGGCCCAACAAAAACCAGCTGAAATGACAGAAAAGGATAAGACAAGCCCCACTCTTAATATGCAGAATATCCACACTGCCTTAGCAATGATCCAGGAAGGAATGAATAGGATGCAGGAAATGATGGTCCACAACCATGAAGAGACCAGGAAAAACCATGAGGAACTGAGGTTAGATGTGGGTGAAATAAAGGACAATATTAAAACTTTAGATGAGAAGATAGAGCAAATTCAACAAAACAGTGGAAAATGAGCAGAGGATCCATAAAGTGGAAGAAAAAATAGAATATACAGCTAATAGAATGGAAAGGATGGAACAGGACCAAGGGGCGTTTAACAAGGAAACAGAAGACGCATTAACTTATCTTAACGCATTAACTTAACTTAAATGGAGAAGGCATCTTTTTATCTATGATTCCAAAATGTAGAAGAGCAAAAAGATGAAAATATAGGGGAAACAATGATTGAGATATTGGCAAAGACAGCCCAGAGGGATAAGGAAGAACTACGAATCGGAATAGACGAAATATATAGGGTTCATACGAACTACGCAAGATGGAATAAGTTACCCAAGGAAATTCACATAAGATTCATGAAGAAATCTATAAAGGAAGAGATTTATAGGAAAATGAGAGAGGAGACAACCATGTACAAGAGAAGAGAAATTTTAACTCTCAAACAAGTACCGAGAAGAACAAGAGACCAAAGAAGAAATTACAATTTTCTAACCACACAGTTAAATAAATTCAAAATAAAATTTTGCTGGCTAATGCCAGAAGGTCTACTCATCTCCTGGGAGGACAGAAAGTA